TCGCTGATTATTTTGATTATTATTTCGCCCTGCTCCGTCGCACATAATTCACAGGCCATAAAGAAAGTGTGAAGGCGATGAAAAACATGGAGGCCACTATAAAAAATCTAGGAAATTTATGATGGCGAATGTAGTTTTTTAACCCGCTGCTCTGGGCCTGGTCATTAAAATCAGTTCGTGGCCCATTGAAGCGTGTGCTCGTGGAAAATGTGAAAAATATAAATGCGGAAAATTATTGAAACAGATTTCAGTCAGGGGTAATATATGGAAAAGTTATAGAACAAAAATAAAATTCTTATTAAAAAGTCAAATTTTTATATAATAATGAAACTTGTTTACTTATTTTATAAGTTTTTAAAAAATACATACATATACTATCATACATACATTTTTAAAATGCCATAACATCTAAAATTTCGAATACAGATATATAATATGATTTATATCCTTCCTAAACCCATAAACCATATACAAAAATTAAATCATATGATGTATTACCTCTTTGGCATAGATTTTATAAACTGTATACAAATAGACATCTGATTATAGTCAATATTGAAATAAGCAAGGCAATTAAGTCGACTGCAGCTGACGCCCCCACAGTATCCACACTTTTGGCAAAGAAGCAGCAGCAGTAGCTGTAGCAGATGCCTGGTATCCATAAGATACATTTCATTCTGTGCGGTCGCATGTGCAAAAGTGCCACTCAAGTTTCGCCAGCCTCCGTCTGTGGCATGTGTGTGTCTGTGTGGTTGTAATTAGTGGCAAAGCTGCTGTCGCCGTCTGCAGTTTTTGTCTCCGTTCTCGGCTTGGCCTGTGCCTCTGCCATCCAGATATGCCAGCAAAAGATGAGCTACAAATTTCTCAAATGTCAACACCAAACTCTCAGTCAGACACACACTCTCAGTCTTCTATACTGACAGATACTTTCGTAGCCAGTGAGTGTGTGCTTGGAAAGTATGTATATTTTCGCATCTGGTCTTAAATGAAATGAACATTTTTCATGGCCTTATTGCATTTGTTAATACCGAGTTGTCAATTATTAATAGTCAAGTTTTCCATGCGGATGCTGCCACTGCCGCTGATGATATTGATGAAGACTTCGGAAGATCAATCAGCAGGCAGTTCATTTGCTGGCAACAGTTAGCCCACATACTCAGTACTGACTTGTACTGAACACTTTCCGTTTATCGGAAGGATCTCGTCTTGGGCACTTCATTAGCCGGTTGACAGCTGCTAATGAACCTTTCAAAGCCCAACCTCCTTTTGAGGCAAGTTCATTGAACGATTGGGGAAGCGTGCACGAAATTGCAAAACTAATTTACAATGGTATTAGTTTTATTTAAGTGGATAGCGGCTAGAAAGTGAAGAGTCCTTGTTACCCTTTAAATAGATTTTAAATGATGAAGGGATTATACTATATAAAGTTTTTAGAAACTGTAAGGTTTTAAGAATGGTTATGCTTAGATAAAAAAAAACTTTACACCTTTATAAACTCCCTCCATCTGTAGTCCAATTTTATGCCCTGTTACCAGAAAGCATATCCTTGCAGAACCAACTTAAATTGCAGCGATAAGCTTTAAACTGCTAGCACTTCCGGCACGTTGCCCGGACTCCTTGGATAAAAATATATACACGTATAGCCCATATAGAGAGTGTGCATACAATGTATACATATATTGTCCATGTACTTGGCTGTCCAGCCTGGAAAGTGTTGGCAAGGATATGCTTAAACATGCAAATTTTCAATATGCAGACAAAACAGAAACAGACACAAGCACAACATGCATGCCTGCCCAGAATCGGTGGCCAGGGGGCCTGGATGGGTGGATATTTTCACTGGCGGAACGTGAAATGCAATTGGGGGCATCTCAGTCCCAACCACCTCCCTGCCGCTCTGCCCGGTCAGGCATTCGATGAAATTGCCCGATTGTGTTGAAGTGTGATGTAGGCTTCGCTTGTTGGCCAGGCCAAGAGGCCTTTGGCACATTTCTGTGTCGTGAAATTAATTTCTCCACTCCGCTCTTGTTAAAAACTGCACTCTCCACTCGGAACCGACTGCCATTTAAAATGTATGATGTGTGTGTGTTTTGGCCATAAAATTACCATAATTAAACAGGCTCTGAGCCATAATTTTAGCATGTTTTACCCAGCCATTGAAGTCGTTCTAAAGCCCATTTTTGGGGCTTAAAAAATGCTTAACCAAAGCTTAATAACAGTAATTAAATTATTACAATTAAACTAAAAGTTATATTTTTTTGCGTATTTATTTAATATTCTATTAAAATCATTACAAATGTAGGATCTATTGCCATCATTTATCATCTTATAGAACATTTTTCTTACATATAGTTCGTTACAAAAAGCCTTATAAAAAGATGCCAAATCATGTTGTCGACCGATTCGTTGAGAAATGAGCTGCCTTTGGCTAAAAGTATCTTCTTTTGACAAGCTGACGTTTGTTGTTTTTCATGTTCGGGCCATGTTAGCTCTTTGATAAATTGAATATATTTGATGGTATAATTAACTCATGTTCATGGCTAATGTGAATGATAGCCCACTCTGTAATTAAATGTATGGTTAACACAGGGAAACAGTTAAGTGGATCACGGCATTATTATCACAGAACTGACGCAAAACTGTATTCTTCTTTAAAATTTATTCCCCATAAGAAAAATATAATGTGTTTTTTAAATAAATCTCACCCTGAGATGGAGCGGAGATCCTCAAATTTATTCAAAATAAAAACCATCCCCTTGAGCATGAGAAATACCCAAAAAAATAATTTAGATAAAGGTTAACATAATTTTGATAAGGAAGCCACAGAAATTTATATGCTCGCACCTAACTGCAAATTGTGTGTAATGAGCTAAACAGAGTCCACCTTTGGGTCTACCTTTGGCCTCACCCTTACCCTAACCTTTCACCTTTTTTTCTTTTTTTTTGTTCTCCCTCGCACTTGGTAGCACCTTTCATGTTCTCTAAACCCGAAGAAGACATAAATTTGTTAGCGCCTGCCTGGTCAAGATCCCGAAACTCATCCTCTGGGGGGTGTGTTTTTTATTTTGGCTCCTGTTTCAGGTTTCAGTTCCTTTTCCTAAAAAATTAGTAGGAAAGAGTGATAAGGTTGGGCCGCCTGCGAGATCGGTCGCCGGAGATAAGTTGCTTCATATTTATGTTGGAAATTAGGCAAATTTTTAGTGCCGAGATAATTTGTGTACGACTTTGTCGCAGTGAGTGAGAAAATTCAAGCTATCAGAAAGCCTAAAAATGGTTCTTGTTTTTTGTGGTTTAAAGTCAGACTCATTAGCTTTCCTCTAGAACTTGTAATTACTATAGGTAACAGGCATTTATTTTTCATAACAATATGACACTTTCTCACAATCCCAACCAGCTATGGTAGTCTCTGACTCTGTTAATTAAGCCATTTAGAAAGTGGCTAACCGCAGAGAAGAAATAAGTTTGGCTTGTTGGTCAAAAACGATTTTTTAATTGTAAGCTTCAATAGGTATAATTATTGGTTAGGTATCGGTTAGGCAAAGAGCCTCTACTGAGAGCTTATATAAGCCATATTTAAATGCTAGCCCAGCCCCTTTTTGACCCTCTTTTCAGGCCCCTTTGCCATATGGCCTATGGCTAAGAAAATTAAGTTATTAACTTTGATGGTTCGTTTGGGCTCAACGCGGGCTTGGTAAGTGGTTTTGGCTCAAGACCAAAATGTCAAATGTGAGAAAATCAATCAATAAGAACTTACGTAGAATTTGTAGAAGAAACTTTCACATTGCAATATGATAATCAATGTTCGCTAACCCCCTACCTAGTCAGTGCGGAACCCTTTTTAAGAAACAACACTTTAAAATGTTAATGGCCATGTAAGAGCGGCCAGAACTGGGAATTAATAACAAACGTCCATAGAATAGACATACATCATTAGAAATTGATGACGCATGTCGCGTGCAACTGCATCCATTGTTGATGGCATGCAACCCTTTAGTTTAGCGGCAACTGCAGACGACTGCTCCCCTGCCATTGGAAACGGACTAAAACACGGACTAGTAATTAATTAGACGTTCATAAAGAGCACAAAATTCTATAAATTATATTTCATTGCTTGGCATAAATGTCGCTGCCCGCCATGCGCGACTGCGCATCACGTGCTGCAGGTAGCCCCAACTTGCAACCAGCAAGCAGCAACCTGCAACGGGCTTCGGGCAACTCCACCCATCAGCGGTATCATATCATATAGCGAGTTATTAATCGTCGGCCATATTTCGAAAAACATTTATTGTCCGACAATGGCAATCGCATGTTTGCATCCAAATAGACCTCGAAAAGCGTTCGAAAAATAATAAAAAATGTACAATAAATAAATGCCTTTCGTTTTGTGTTATAAATTGTTTATTCAGTTTCGCTTCTTTTCTCTTTTTGCACATAATTTAAATAAGTGTTTAGAGTAATTGATTTTGCATTTGTTTAGGGGGCTTCAGAGTGTCTAGGAGGCTTAGTTCGGCGTGAAACTTTCACAATAATTTGCGGGTTTTAGGAACACATGGGACGACAACAAAAAACACAGCAGTAGAGGGTCTAAAGGGGTAGACGCATGTCTCTAGGCCTAATTAAATTAACTAATACTGTTATAATGCTACAAAAATTACAATACATTGAAACCGATAAAAACGGTTCTCTAGCTTAGCATCACATGCAACATCGAATGCATTTTTGGATGTTGCAGCAACATGATCGGGGTTATTTACAAAGGACATTCTATTTCGTTCAACAACATTGCACATACATTTCGCTGATATTCTGATGTGGTTTTTAAGATGCAAGCTTTAAGTTTTTAATATATTTTGAATCTTAGTAAAGCACTTATAATTCAAAAGAAGAATGAGTAAGCCTTTATTTCACTTCAGTTCCTACATTTTAAAGATCACATCAGAACTTATTTATTGGGTGGGGTTGCAAGGTGAGTAGTTGGAGTTTTGGGTGATTTATTAATAGTATTTTTGCTATTCCAGTCCTAAGGACTTTCGGCCCGATTCGAGGCTGGTGGCGAGGCCTGATGCTGAGGCACCTGGTAAGGACTAAACCGCTGCGGATAGTGACTCAGTTGCGGGCGTGCCCTCAGATCCGGCGACGCCGAGCCACACGATGAGGTCGGCGTGGCGGGGGCGGGTGGGGCCACGGCTGCCGGCGGCGGTGGTGTCCGGTTGGCGCCCGCTGCTGCCAAGGCTAAGGCCGCCTGCTGGTTAGCGCTGGCCAAGAATCCGGCCGTGAGCTGAGGCCACTGCTGTTGCCACATGCCCAGTTGAAAGGCGCTCAGTGGCGGGGCCGGTGGAGGTGGCGGTGGGGCCGCCGATCTCTGGTAGAGGTGGGGCAGCAGCATCTCCGTGTACGGCGATCGTCCGAACATCTGTAAGTGTTGCCGGGCTTTCTCGAGCAGCGCCAGCGAGGCGGCATCCGCCTCCTGCGGCGTCAACTGGGACATCAGAGGATCCGGAAAGAATCTCAAAGGAGCTGCCCTCATGTGCTGGTCGAAGAAGAACGCATCCATGGGATCTCTGGAATGTAAAAACATTTATTGGCTTAAACATCTATTAAAAGCCAAACAAAAAGATAGCCAAAGACGGATAATTAAGTGACAATCGTTGGGAATTAGTGGCTAAACGCTATCGGCTCTCAAATTAGTCGGAGCTGCAGACACTTCGACTCGAAAGAAGTTGCAACAAAGGCAGAAGATCAGAACTCGATGAGCAACTTGTTGGTGCTGCCACTTCAGCCAGAGCAATAACATAATTACGTTGAAAGTAACTGCCAATTGCCGACACTAAACAACAGGAACAACAACACCAGCAACACAAGCAACACCAGCAACATGAGGCACATTCACTCATTATTTTCGTGTTTTCATTTCATGTACGAATCGGCTTCAAAGTTAAAAGCGCCGATCTGTAATTTACGCCACTTAAGCCGCCGCCGTGCCGGCTACAAAAGCAATGTTGCTGCCGCTGCTGCAAGTAGTTGTTGCTGTTTCTGTTGCTGATGTTGCTGGCGGCAGAGCATTTGCTGCTGGTGCTGCGTTGCTTTGCTGTCTTAATAGTCGCAAGACTTTGAAGTCGCTGTCGAAAAAAGGGCAGCAGCCCTTCGCTCAACGGAAAGTGGAAAAAATGTTGCCCCAGGCCTGATCCTTTGGGGAGCAGAGCCAACATGTTGCTGCCTATTGGAAAAATGTTGCTGGTAGACAACTAGGTTAAAAGAAGTGTTCGTTTAATAGTTTGGTTGGAAGAACTGCTGAAGTATTTTATGAGGAAACACCTCTTAAGTCTTCAAACTTTCTAAAGAATCAGAACAAACTTCAATCTCCTACCGAGTGCCATAAAAAGAGGGACTTTTCTTTGTAAATCAGGCACTCCTCTTATAACCTGCAATCATTAAAGTATCAGTTTGATCCAATTGACCACATATGTGGCACGTTGCATGCTAATTGAAGAACCGGCAGGAATCGCTGCCCAGACCGGCACTTTCACACATTTTCGCTAATCAGCAGCAAGTCGGGCTACTGTATCGCCTTTACGGCTCAACAGGCCATCGTAAATTAGGCCATAAATCAGACATGATACCATAAAAAAGCAGAAAAAACGAGGCCAACTACAGACGTTGATGGAAGCTGCTGAATGGGGGGAACACTCACCTATCAAAGTCGGTGAGACGAGACGAATCGCGAAATCCTTTCGCAAACGGATTCGAATCGATTTTCAGTTTCGTAATCAATTGATTCTGATAGGCCGTCACGGCCGTGAACACGGTCTCCGGGAAAACGAAGGTTTTATGGTCCATATCCTGCAGCTCCTTGGGATTGCCGGGTATGCTCTGACCATGGCTCAGACGGACCAAATGGATCCTGGGCTGGTATCGGTGCATTGAGTTCAACACGACCTGTAAAAAAAAACGAAAGAATTCAGGGAATGCGAATGTTTGTTGTGCCCGGCCTTATAAAAAATGTAGGCCCATAAAAGAGTAGTCGCGTTTGTTTTGACTGTCCTCGCAGGTTCTTCCCATCCTTCTGGCTCCCGACTCCCAGCACCCCATCCTTTCCCATCCACATCCTTTATGACCGTGATAAAAACGGTAGCAGCCTCGTAAACAGAGCGTCGCCTTTCGGCCCGAAAATCCAGGGGCTTCAAGGGCTCTGCGTCCTTTGTATTTGCCACCAAATTGCCAACAATTTTCATTCATTTTTGTGCGCGCGCAATCCCATTTGCATATGTGCATGCGGCGGCAGCCCTGTCTGGCTGACCCCTTGTGACCCCGCGGCGGAAGACAATGCCAGAAGGGCAAGACAAGACGGTCTCCAGTTTATGTGTTTTTCTCGAGGCCCAAATTATTCATGAGCGAGTGTGGCGATGCTTGCCAGGATATGGAGTGGAAGTTGCATTGTCTTCTAGTCCTCATAGATTTCTACACGAAATCTTCTATCGAATCTCCGTCTTATTAATTTTTCTTTTCAGGACATTTGTCTTACCAACTTTAGTTTCTTTCCCCCATTTGCAGACGCTCCAACTCACCTGTCCACTCTTGTCCATTTCGTTGTTTGTCAACTTCACCTTCTCGAAGGACACGACCTGCTTGCGCAAAGCCTCTGGACTGATGGGGCTGTCCGGATGAGCGTAGATGCGGGCGGGGGGCGGCGGGTCGGCTTTTCCGGCCACCAGCCAGGAGCTGCGGTGATAGGCGTAGCGGTATCTTCGCGAATCCAGCGGCACAATGTCCAGGAGCACCGCATACCGGTCCGGCGGTTGAATTTGCCTCAAAGGACCCGAGAAGCTCACTCGGACGGTGGGAAACATGCGTCTGCAAAGGCAAGGAATACCATTTTCAGTGAATGCTCTCGAAAGCTAGAATCGTGAACTATTTTTTTATTGCCGGCCATTGTGTTGCGGCGGCCAAAACAAAGAAAAGGTGGTTAGCCGGCCAACATGGCATGTAAATAAGACGCATATTTAATTTTATGACTTTTAGCACGTTTTCGACACATTTCCGCAAGCGATGTCGTCGTCCTCAGTGCAGGACGATCGCCCAGCAGGTGGTAGGAAGGGGTGTGTACCGCCCTCTCTATTGCCACCTTCCACCCAACTACCAATTGTCCTGGCAGTCCCGGCCAAGTGTAAATGACGCTAATGACCCAGCCTAGTTTTTTGTCATTTGTCTTTCAGACCAGAAAAACCTGAGGTACTTTGTAGGAAAGTGTGGCTTTGTTAATTTGAATTAATTAGACTAAGGTTCTAGTAACTAATAGCTATTGATTTGTTTTACTAATCTTTAAACTCAAGCTCCTAAAAGGACTCTTTCGGGCCAACATGCAAACACAATTTGTAGTCTCATTAAGAGTGTTCTCCTTCATCCTGGCTTAATTCGAGTCTTGTTTGTTTATTGTATGTTTACAAGCCATTATTGTAAGGGGGCGTGTTCAGTGTCACCATGATGGTTTTGGCCAGAATTGCCAACATCAGGTGACTAACTGTTATGGCCGAGTATTTAGCGCAGTCACAGACCAAAACGAGTCCCTGGAATCACACTTTTAATTGTGATTAGTGCTGTAAGCAGTTGTAAGTTGTATTTTCAGTTTGCAGTTGCATGCCACAATTAGCACCATTGTAGCGGGCATTTAACGTGTTCCGCTTATCTCGATATCTGCACGGAGTGACTGACTTACAAGCAGCACTCGAGCCTGACCGCCAAACCTAACCACCTAGAGCGGAAGCCGCCAAGCCGGAAGCTTCCATTTTGTTTCTACCCTCAAATAGAGTGGGTTATAAAGAGTTTTACTCGAAGAAGAATCACTAAGAAAATGTACAGAGAAAAAAGGGAATTTAGAACTTATAATATTAATAAACAGAATTACTTTCAGAACTCTCCGAATTTTTTCTCAGTTGAGGAAACGTTAACACTTTCCCGACGTTCTTGACCGACCTGCTAATATCCGGCATAAATGTGTGAACGCAGCTCTACTGCCACACAGCCACGCCCTGTTTTGATGGGCCATATCTAATACCGCCCCGCTTTTATTTGTTACTTTTGCTGCGAGGCGGAAATGTCGTAAATCATATTCCAGCATTTACATACAAATTTTACGAGTCCAAGAACAGCCCGCGGGCAGTGTGAGCCACTCCCCACAGCCACTGGCCGTTCGGTTTTATTTTTTCTTGGCGACTTCGGGTTTAGTTTGCCGCTGGTCGAGCTTCTAAGTGTGGATTTTATGTATTTGTTTATGGGAAAATTAGGGAAATGGCTCTTACTCAGTTTTTTGGAGCGCGGCGAGAGCTTAGGTGCCAAAGGTTACAATTATGAAGTTTACACACCATTTGCCATGGCCAGAAACCCTCTTGGGGTGGCTTGGTTTTCAATTAGCCGTGCCGAACCACATACAGAGAGTGGTATGCTCGGATATACAGCTCGGAATGAGCGGCCAATTCATTATCAACACCTTTGTTACAGCAAATTAAGCCGCAAGGTCTAAATTAATAAAATGCAAATTAGCCAGCGATGAGGAGAACAAAGCGATACATAACCAACCCCAAAAATACACTCCCCACATTCGTAAGAAACTATAACTTTGATCTTATCGCCAGCTGACAACACTCCCCCAGTTCCCTATCTTTTATTAGTTGATTAATTCATAATTCGGGGCCTGCACCTTTCGGCCAAGTAGGGGATTAACTTGTTCCGATATCTGTCCGGTCTTGGCCATTTCGGCTGATAAATGATCCACCTCAGCTGCTCAGAAATATTAATGAAGTTGTGGAATTTTAAAGGAAAATATTTCTGCCTGCAAGGGGTTGCAGTTGCTGTTGCAGTTGCACCATGAAAATTCCAATTGCCACGCATCCTTGGCAGCAGGACTACTGTCCTGCAATTGAATAGCACCTCGACTAATATGCGTGAAGCGTTTGTCGCAAAATATTGACAAACTCTGTGCATTTTAACCCGCTGGGCGAGGGGTCAACAAACAATTAGCCCGCCCATCCAACTGCTGACTTTCCGGCCATTGTTTTGGGCCTCCAGAAAAATGCCCAGAATGCCAACCTCAAAACCGCTGACAGCGTGACAAAATCGCAAACCACGTGATATTTTATTTCAACAACCGCAGAGGCAAAATATGCTCTAAGAAAGGAATTCTAGCCTAGCGACCACAGGACAGGTAAAAAATCAACTCTTGTTTTGTTTTGGCTTTGGTTGTAAATCATCCTTAAAGCCACTTTCTGTTTACAGGCCAAAAGGTGTTGACCATTTGAGGCAGTTCCTGTGCGCTTTTCACGGTTTCGTTTTGATGAGAGCCACGCATGCGCATTTGCATGTGAAGACCACATTTTCCATGCACTTTAAATGGGAACAGGGGTTTCATGTCATTAAAATAAAAATAATTCTTACAGCAAAAAAATAAAAGATTGACTATACAAGATTTCTAGACTATTTTCCCAAAATTGTATGCCGGATTCGTACAATAATTCCGGAAATATAGCCAAAAACCGCAGTACAACCAATCTTGATAAAATTTTAGAAAGGTCTTCAAGATATTATAAAATAGCATTCTATTTTATCCATTCCACTCTTGTATAAAAATTATTTTCTTTGTTTTCAATAAAAACCTTCATTTTTATGGAAATTGATATAGACTTACTTTGAAGTCTTCCCTTGAAGTCTACGTTACCCCTTGAAGTGCTAATAAATTCCTTTGCCCGCTAGTACTTTATAATTTCTAGTCAACTTTTTTTTCATTTCATACCTAAAATAAAATTACATTTTTTACCTCAAATGTTTGCACATTATTGTAATTTTCTCACTACGAATTTCCTGCTTTATTGCGTTTTCTGTCCAACAAAAAAATATGAAACCCCATGACAGACTGCAGTAAGACATGCCACCAAACTGACTTCAAAGCCCCCAGTGGAGGTTTTTTTTTTGCCATTCAGAATGTATCACTAACATAAAAAGTCCCGCATTGCCACACCCACTTGGCCGGCTGGCCCGCCCCTTTCGTGGACATGTTTAGCTAGCAAACGACGTGCTGACATAGATGGATATCGGGAATGGGAATTATTCTGCTTCTGTCTCTGTTTTTTGCCACCGCTTACCAATTTTTTTTGCATTCGAGTTGCATGCGTCCGTCAAACCCGCACAAATGTAAATAAGCCGCAGCAAGTGTCGGCCGTTCATCGGTATCCTTTGACTAATTACAGGGCCCGAAAAAGGAAACTCAAACAGAAAAAGAACCAAAGTGAGCCAGGAGTCAACGCAAAAACACGAAACGAACTGGGCCCAAACGGCCAAGGACATGCAAATGTGTTGTTAGCGCGACAATCGGCAGCTATTACATTGCAATTTATACTTTGTGCGGATTTGAGGTATGGGGCAAAGGCCCCGAAGTTAGGACCAGAAGCCAGGAGCCAAAGGAGTAAATTTGTTAATGTGTCGTAAATGCGAGCTACGGGTGGAAGAGGACACTTAATATTCAAAGGGCATGAGGGAGATCTTCGGGGGCAGCCTGTTGACGGCCTGGCCAACAAAGGGTTAAGCTATACTATGGCCAAATAAACAAAAGTTGCCAAGCACCAAAAAAAATAGAAGTCGGAATATAAAAACTAGGGGTATGAAATAGTCGTACTTAGATACCTATTAGTATTTAAATGTTACTGGACTTTATTTAAATACTGGAAGATTGTTCTTTAAAATTCTGATAGTAACATACATTTTTAAGATATTTATATACTATATTTCAATCAGATTTAATCTTTAGCTTTATTATAAAGTGTAGTGCTATGTAGAAACTATTTGGTATATCTTAACATTTTTATAAAGAAACTATACAAATCTCCAATATATATTATAGTAATGAAGAAAATAAATATTTTGATTTCTATTAAAGCCATTTTTACCAAACAGACCTATGTATGTATATTTTATCCGTAAAGCCCTATATACCCCATTTAGAGGCAAACATAACCGAAACAGAAAAAGTCAACAAACGCAGAAGGGAGCTCCTAACTACCACCTAGCGACTAATGCGCATTTCGCATGTTATCTGGCCAAGAGTGAGAAGAAGGCCAAAAACAAAGGAAAACAAAAAGTTCTTTGGCCCAAAACTGTTATGTTTCATGTTTCCTTATACGTTTCGTTTTTATTCGCATTTCAGAGACCCCGTTCTGAAGCCCCCACTCCGACTCCACTGCAAAAATATCGCCAAGCAATAATTTCTTCAACTTTTGTTGAGTTGCCAATGAAAAGTCGTTTAGCCCGGTGTTTATATTTATGTACCCATGTGTGGGTCTGTCTTACCAGACTATTTCCACTACCAGAAACGAAAAACAGCTAACGAAAAGAGTTGGTTTTTTGTGTTTTTGGTAGCTAATCGAAAATCGACGGCAAATTATTTCGATGCCTTGTCAATCAAATTTGCTGGCCAAGTCGGCTCATGGCTGTAAATGAGGAACTAACCAAAAGGTTGTTGATATTTTCCAGTTTAGATGGAGGGGCGGTACTGGGGGCGGTGGCAGGGGTGTGGCTGATAGCCGATACCCCGATGTGAGTTGGAAGTTGGGCCTTTTCGTTCGTTTTGGGTGAAAGGCGCATTAAAGTTTTATTGATTATTCGTTGGAGGACTTTTCGTGGGCAGCTTTGAGTGGCCAATTGCTGGGAGTGGGATTATGGTTATGACCCAGAGTGCCCCTGTATAGGCCCCCTCCTCTCAAACACCAGGTTTTCTTCCTTGCGGCCCATAAGGCCCCTGGCAAATTGAATTCCAACGAAAGTTTAATGAAATAAAATGCATGTTGGTGATGCAAGTGGACCCATGGGGATTTTTGCAAACAAAATGTGATCGATTATCGGTACGTTTCTTTCAATATACTCGATAAGTGATTATTTCAAAGTGTTTAACTAAATTGGCTTGCCGCTGCCGATGAAATGAATTAGGAAACTAATTTAAGATTTAATTTCGGGGTTTTCTCTTTAAAAGGTTTTATTTGTAACGCAATAGTAATACAAGGATTGGGTAAAGCTAAAATGGGATTTATTTATGTATGAACCCCCCCTTTACCCTTTCCAACCCGCTCACTTAGGAGCTAAGACCCCCTTAATTATGCCGCCATTGCACTCACCTGCCCGACTTGGTAATGATCATCTCAGTGCCCAATTCATGGAACTTATCCCACAGCTCCTTCGTCTCCAGGTGGCACTGGACGGGCGTGAGATCGTCGCAATTGCACGAGCCCAGAATCTTGGGCGTGGGCAGCTGTGGGCGTGGCATGAAGCCAAGACAGAGAGGGGAAGACAATAAAGAGGGGACTTGAGTAAGGCGCTTGTAAAGTCAGAGTTTTCCTTTGCGTTTACCTGGGCTGGTGACTCCTCCGGCGACAGGCGCTCGATTTCCTCGGGACTCTGCGAGGGCGGGGGCGGCGAGGGCGTGGCAGCTGCGCCAGCTCCAGCTCCAGATGCAGCAGCAGAACGCCCTCGATGGCTGCTTGATTTGCTGTGATTGCTGTTGCTATTGTTGCTGTTGTGATGATTGTGATGTTGGCGTTGTTGCTTGTTTGCCGTTGCGTGGTGATGTGTCTGTTGCCTTTGCTGTTGTTGCTGTTGTTGTTGCTGTTGCTGCTGCTGCTGCTGATGTTGCTGTGCAACACGCAATGCCTGACACGCTTGCTGTTGCGCCTGCAATGCTGCTGCTGCCGCCGCCGCTGCTGCGTTCGCTGTTGCTGCAGTGGCTGCTGCTGCTCCAGTTGCCGCCGGCGTTTCCGAGTCACTGCAGTCGACCACATCAACGTCAACATCAACGTCAACATCATCGTCCACATCCTGGCCCGAATATCGTTCCACAGATGCGGGACCTACACGTTGAAAAATTCACATTTTTTACAAAGAGTTTATAAGAAATGTATGAACTACGTACAAAAAGGTATGGTGTTTAAGATCATTATTATCGTACAACTATCATACCATATATCAAAGCATAAGGAAAAAACTATAGAAGAGTTAGGATAGGATTATAACTTCTAATCACTATTTCTCATACAAATCCCACTTAATATAAAAATTTATTTTCCGTGCATTGAAAACAGAGACATCAAAGTGGCTCGTTAATGTGGGAGTTGCTGCTTGGGCTGCAACATGTTGCATGTGCTCGATGACGAGGCGCTACAGCATCGAGAATCCAGTTCGCGACCAGATGCATTTTACAGATTACGCCAAAAATTCAATTATTTGCACAAAATGCTATTTCATATGTTAATTTCGCGTGTATATGATACGAGACTGTGTGCACTTTGGCATTGCAATTGCCGATTGGAAAGTGAACACACAAGGGGGTTGCTGTGGGGCATGTGGCAGGGATGGCAGAGATGGGTGGCAGGCTAATGAATGCATCTGTTTGCGCTTCTGTCTCTACCCAATTATGGCGTCTAAATAGTTGTGTACGGAACAGAGCGAAATGGGCGAAAACACGTAGATATATGTATGTAGTTATATACGCGATTATATATCTCAGCTTTACTTGTCATGTACTCGTGGCAGGCACATTCCCCCGAATGCCCCCTTGAATTCAAATAGGCTTTGATTATTTTATTGCCGCGCATTTGCCGCAATTATCAAGTCATCAACGTTGCATTGTCATCAATATATAATTTATATGGCAGAAAAACGAGTGCAAAAAATGTGAAAAATATAGAAATAAAATACACCTGAGATACTTTTTTTATAATAGATTTTTTTTGTTCAGCAAAATTATAGATTGGAGGAGGAATACGGCAGAAGAGGGTATTACTAAGCAATCGATTAATTGTGTTTTTATGGCAGCAGATGTGTTTCTGGGATGGATATAAAATTGTTCCAGAAAAAGATTATAATCTGAGGTATTCACATTCTTAAATACATTTTTTCATTGAAATACAATTTATAGAATTTTTATGGAGCTTTTCGCATCTCGCAAAATAATATAAATATATAACTAAGGCTGTGATATTCAGACAAACCCATAACTTTGGATGAATTTCAACATGTTTCGATAGAAAAAGATAGTTTTATTGATTCAGACGCAAGTCTACAACAATATCCAATGAAAAGAATATTTAATAAGATAGTAAAAAAAAGTAAGTCTTGAACTAAAGAATACATAATTTGTTAGGTTTTAACATCATCATGTCATCTTTTTACCAATTCAAATTATTGAACAAAATCACTTAATATTAGCTAGTTTGTTCAAAGAATCAAATCATTCTAGTAGAAGTGTAGAAGATATACTATCAGAAAGAAAAATAAAAGTTAAAGTCTTCTCGTGAAACTCCTTCTAATAATCTATTTTGTTTAAAAAATAAAATACCTTTGGTAGGGGAATATCAGTCTCTATAGGGTTTCTATCAAAACTATCAAATAAAATGCCAATATCGCAATGAAACTCCTTTTAACTCCCTACGATAAAATCAAATGGGTACAACCATCTATTCATATTTAGTACATCTCCTATTTCTGGAGTTGGGGGAACTTGGGAATTACTTTACTCACTCAGACTCCGCTCGGAAGGTTCGCGGCTGCTCGGGGCGTTTCCGCCGCGCGCCATAATCGCCGCAATTGAGAAATCCGTGGCGAAGGAAATGTTGTGCTGATGCTGCTGATGATGATGATGATGATGATTGTTCAGCGGATGATGATGGCTGTTGCCGCCGTTGGCGATATTTGCTGCTGCTGTGGCGATTTGCTGTTGCAGCTTTGACTTAAAATTCTGCGTCTGTGGTGGCGACGGCGGCTGCGTTTGTTGGGGCTTCGTGTTGGCCGGCTGATTGCTTAAAAGCATTTTAGGGCCTGATTTTGTCCGAATTGTGGTCCAATGTATTTTTGTCACTCTTCAATACTGATTCCTTATTATCCTTATACTGTTGACAGGCTGATTACAAATTAAATTTCAATTCAGCTTTTAGAATGTAAAGATCTCATTCATTTCATTCTTAGCTTATAGTAGTTTTTATGTATTTCCAAAATTTTAACATAATTCACAGAGTATTTTAGTCAAAATTCAAAACACAATATGATTCATTTAACAAAAGCTTGTAAGAACTTTCATATAATATTTTTAATGAAATAAATCTTTATATTTTATCTAAGAAATTTTCAAGTTTTTAGTTAGGTGGAAATTATACCGCATTTCGACTGCTACGCTTTTCAAAACACTACGACTTTGCGAGTTTACGCCCGTGTTTTTGTGCGGCCGTGCCGGAATGAAAAGAGACGGAAAGGATAGGAATTCCGAAGCGCCGTCGCTGCTTCACAGTCACGCAGCTGACCATTGAATGAATCCCAATTCGCTTTTCGCCATGTAAACGCCAAAAGCGCCAAAGCCAAAGCCAAAACCGAAAACGCAACGCAAAAATCAACAAAAGCAAGAGCAACAACTATTGCGGTGGCGGCGGCAGCGTTGCCGGCAGATACGCCGGCTGAGGCAGCGGCTGACCCCCAAAACGGATAACAACAACAGCTGATGTATCTTACGGCAAAAGGTTTTCAACACCCAGTACGTAACGTAACGCCAGGCATTACGTAGCCGCCTCGTACGACCAATTTGTTAAGGGGAGGGTAAGGTATTAAATTTTTTTTTTTTCCATTTTTTTTTTATTTTTTAAATTGAATGCATAATATCTGAAGAATATTGTGTCAAAATTTCAAGTCAATTAAAGCAAAATTGACGAAGTTATTAGTTATTGACGAAGTTGCTTGCAAACGTTTTACACTGGATTTTGTTTTGTTTAAAACTTTAAAGCGTTATTCCCACAACTCACGTTTTCAAAGTCGGTGCCCCTCATAACTTCAAAACTACTGCACCGATCCTTTTGAAATTTTAAACACTATTTCTGTTCATATTTTACGAGGTAACGCTGTCGAGTTTTTTTTTTTTTTTTTCATAGTTTTGATTTTGCAATGACAAATTAACCGATTTTTTCCCAAAAAATTGAGTTTTTCACTTCAAAGTCTTCGAAAAATTAAAAAATTGCAATTTTCAAAAAACCTTTACAGCGTTACCTGGGGCGAACTATTATCTAACGAATGAATTTTCATTTTTTGATTACAAACGATCCAGCACCGAGTTATGAGGGGCACCGCAATTCAACTTTTTTTGGCGACACGTCCGGACAACTGCTACCATTGCCATATTTTTAAATATTTTTTTGTAAAAATTTTATTAAACATTCTTCTAATGTCATACTTTAATATACCGTTGGTTGAATAAATAAATTTTAACTGTGTCGTCAGGAAAAAAATCACAAAAACATGGCTTTTTTCGCATGATTTGACCTTACCCTCCCCTTAAGGAGCAACAAAAAAATGTGTAACGAAATTACGCATACGTCACGTAAGCCACCGCAAGCTTAACCGCCAAGCGAAAAGGAACGGTTTTCAATTATGATGTTTAGCGATGGGTGTGCAAGCAGGATGCACATACCAGCGCATTCCCATGCTGCAAGCAGCGACGTCAGCATCTACGTCGGCGTCATTTCCATTAGCATTTCCCATTCCCATTTTCCAATTCGAACACATTCCCATGCACTCAAAACTTGCCAGTCCATAAGAGATGTATGTGCGCGAGCGAGACAACAGCTGTACACCGTTTGAGTGATAGAAGAAGAAGAGTGGGAGCGAGAGAGACAGCGGCCGACAAGTTCATAAATTCGTCATTTTGTTTTCGGCTGTTGACAGTTCCCGCATTCGTTGTTGTTGTTGCCATGGCGAGTGTATGTATGTGTGTGAATGAGTGATGTTCCAGTTCCACTTTGTTCCCATATTCACCAAACCGAATGGAGTGTTGTTAGATGAGTGAGTGAAATGTATAGGAAATGAGTGTTTCTGGTTGCATATTCTTAATTTTTGGTTTTAGCTGCTTAATAATTTAAAATTTGTTAAATAAATGGAAAACATTTTATTTATTTATAAAGAATTGGCCTAATGAAATTGTATCTTAAGGTCTGTTCATCTAAGGACCATCTAACTTATTTTTTCAAGTGGAAGAGTCTAAAATGTTTCTTCTTGAGCCAAATGAGGGTATCCTTGAGGGTATCTCAATAATAATTGAAAGTAATATTAAAATTAGTATATCAGTATAGCATAATTTTTTTTGAATTCTTTATAATAATTTAAACACTATATTTAACTTTGGTACTTTTTTTTTCATCAAGAAAGCCGTTCCACGAACCCAAGGACAATGGCTGTCGCCCAAACTTATCTGAGAAAATGTCTCCTGGGCGTTCCCCCAATTGTTAAATCATAATTGAATATCTGGCTTCCTGTCACTCCCACCGCCCTCCACCAGCGTATGTAAATGTTTTTAATTTAAATGTTTGCTTAAAAGAAACAACAAAAGATGGACGAAAAAAAATGCGACGATGGCGTGTGAACGCACCAGAAAATTATAGACCAGAGGGGTAAAAAAAGAGGGAACCAAAGAAAAATGTGGGGTGGGGTGGTGCCACCATCTTGTTTCCCTCCATCAGACTTTTTTCACAATTCGTCAGCTGCGCCCTTCGTCCTTCTAGGATGATGTCCTTTTTCTTGTACACTCGAGAAAATTATGGAAACAAGAACTTTAAAAGTGAAAGAGAAGATACATTTATTTTATTCTTCTATAAATTATAATAAAGTAATAGTTTCTAGCCTTGCTTATATATTTTCTATATTTCATTATCTATTTTCAATTTTTTAAATATTTTTTTTAAGGTGTTGCCTTGGTCCTTGTGGCTGCGGTTTCATTTGCATGCGATTCGTGGTTGCCAGCCGATGTGGCGCACAATTGAGCCACTAATGGTGATGTTGATCGGTGAGGTGGAGGGAGTCGCTGGAAAAACGAAGGACTACAGAGGCATGGCGGGCAGGGGAGGGACTCAGACAGGGTGGGCCCTTTTCCTTCCTTTGTTTGCTTTGTCGCGGCTCGGTGACAATTTTTCAATGATTTGTTTCCTGCCCTGAAATCTCATTTGCATATGCCACCATATTTTTTCAACTTTCCAGGTTTTTTTTCGGCTGTGTCGGGTGCTTTTCCCGCTCCCTGCTCCTGTTTTATATTTTTAGGGGAGTGAAAAATTGCAATCGCTTTGTTTTTGTTTTCGGTGTGGCTTGGTTCCTTCTGGTTCATGCCATTTGAATTTGATTTAATGAAATTAAGAGGGCGTGTTTTCCAAATTGTCATTTCTTTTAATAGTTTTTGGGCCATTTTCATTGGAAATTTTCACACTAATGAAGTTGGTAAAAGAGTTTCCAGGTTAATTAGAAAATTTAGACATTTTTCAGAGGCTACAGAAGGAGGTATGCAAAGCTGGAAGAAATTGAAATAAATTGGTAAACATTTTTCAGAAACGGCCTTGTTTTTTCTTGAGGTATTTGCATAACTTCTATTTATTGTACTGTGCTCGGAGAAAATCAAAACAAAGCACTTTAGTATTATTTATGAACAACATTGCCAGAATCTATGACCAATCCAGCACAGGATATAGGAAAATTCTGGGAGGGGGTAAGGTAAAGCCAATCAAGCACATATCTCCAGAAGCCATTCCGATTCTCATTGAACGGGATGGAACAGTTCTGTTATAACCAAAATTTTTGTTTACGCTTTGACGGGATTACGGCAAAGTCGACAGCCGCAGAATGGATCCATTCCGGTGTTGTTGTTTTCCCAATGTATCTGATGCTGCTGTCGCTGGCTATTAGTTTTTATTTGGGAAATTTCACTATTTTCCTTGCGTTTGCTTCTTTTGTCCACATACGTGCACTAAATGGCCAATAAGCGGGCGAGTGGGGCGAGAAAAAATGCGGAAACTAAGCCGCTGAAGCCGTGTCAGGACAGGGCCATCTAAATGCACATGGCGGCCATATTGTGCCAAAGGATATATCAATTTTATTGCCGCCCGAAATCGAAACAAACTGAGCCAGGACAACATGTGTGCCTAGGATTTGCTACACATTTTTTTTGCGTGTTTGGTTGTTGTTATCTTTCTCCTGTTATTGTTGCACACAAATTGCGTAGCAAATTGTTTTGTTTTTTTTGGCCAAGTTTCTGCAGCCTTAATCCTTTGGGCCAAGGCAAACAGAAAAATAATAATTGCAAACAATTGTGTTTTATGGCCGGCATCCTTGAGAAGGCGGCGAAGTGCGAGCGAAGCGTGTCACCTGAAGGCAGGTGCGGCCCGAAAGCCAAGGACACCGGCAATTATCCTTGGGCGAGGGAGTCACAGATGGGCAGATCAAATCAATTACGCCAACGGCGAGAGCAATGCAACGAGATCTCTGCCTAATTTGATTTCATTACTTCGCCCACGACTGTAAAAAATTAAGCACTGAAAACAATAATTTATTTTATACCTCATCAAGGTATAGGTCGTATACCTTATTTTAAGAGTTTCATTCTTTAGTGTAGACAGAAGAAAATCCTCTTGGCCATATCCAGGGCGGAGCTGTGCCCGAGCTTAATGCGAAAATTAATCGAATCGGGATCGAAGCTGGCTTGCAGCTTTGGCAACGCCTCCCAGCTGCAGCAGCAGAGCAACTTCCAACTTGCAACTGGCAACTTGCAACAAAAACTAGCCACATTCCCAAGCACCAACTACCGAAAGCGTTGAAAACACTTTGTCGGCTCACAGATGCGTTGATAATATGGTAAAATTGGCAATGAAGCACGCCCACTGTTGCCACGGACCCTGAACCCCGTGTTCCAGATGCAGATAAGCTGAGATGCAGATACAAATGGATAGGCTGGAAAAAAGAGATACAGATAGAAAGATACACAGGCTGGCTGGCATACAGTATGCAGATACATTTGTTTTTGGCCGCACGACTGTTTCCTGCCACATGGTAATTGCCACATCAAATGTGCTAGCTATGCGGCAAACGTTTCTATCCGATCCGAGAGATCCCCCCAAGATTAACGATCTTCGGTGTAAACCACATCCTGGCTGACGGAATCTCAGCCTCCCCAGTGCGGCGGAGAAGATCAAATGCTGGAGGAGCAATTGAAATTATTATTAACACGCGTTCCGTTTGCTGTCAAAATTTATGAGCTCAACTTGCAGCAGCAATTGTTGATGCTGTGCCTCCTGTCGATGATCGAGTTGAGGCAGTTAATTGCTACACATGAAGAAAAAAGATAATTAAAATATTATAAATTTTTAGAAGAACCATTTTCGAAGCCTTAACAATGCTGATGAAAGATTATTTGACTAGAAATCTTGTTGGTTTATTTCAAATAATTTTATTATTATTTTTTGTTAAGTGTCAAAGCTGCAAATTACTTGTTCAACATAAACAAAACGGT